CTTTAACAGAGCCAAAAAAAAAAAAAAAACCTCTGCTGATTTTGCTCACTGATTTTAAATTACTCTACAGTACCTACAGGGCTTAAGAGTCCAGGTCCTAGAATCAGACAGACCTGGATCCAAATCCAGGCTCTACTCCTTACTAGCTCTGTGCCCGTGGGAAAGTTACTTAACTTCTCTGAGCCATTTTCTTCAACTGTAAAATGGACATAATGACATAATTGGCTAAGTGATTAGCATAATAAACTTACTCTAGCACAAATTACTCACTCAATAATATCTGTGTCCTACTTCTCAGCTCCTGACATTCTATTCTTTTTTCTACCTTGAAGAATTCACTGCCTCAAATAGCTTTGACTAATACTGCAATTAAGTATATGCCTGAAGCTACTGTTGCAGGACTAAACCTTCCACCTTCTTCTTTAGCAACAAAGAAAAGCACTATTTGTATATTTCACCAATATCTATGAAATAACCTGTTGAAAACTGATTTCAGCTTTATACTCTTCTGAAAACACTCATTTCCCTTGGCTTCTGCAATACCATACTTTCCAGACTTTTCTTCTCTGGCCATCTCTTAGAGTCTACCACCAGCTCATCCTACTATACTCAGATCCTAAATATTAGTGTTCTAAAGGGAAAGCCTAAGGGTTTTCTTCATTTCTCACACTACAGTCTCTCCCTTCGAGACCTCATGCTTCATCAGCACCACAAGTGCAACCTATAAATAAGTAAATGACTTCCATATTATCTCTAGTGCAGACATCTCCTCTGAGCTCTAGATCCCTCTACCCAACTGCCTACTGACATCACCACGTGATGACAAGGCAGCTTAAACTCAATAGATCCCAAACTAGCTTCATGATCTTCCTGGAGTCATGATTTAAAACGGGATTCAGGATCCATGATCAACCAACCTAGTATTACGTTGCTTTTAGTGAACGAAAGGCAGCACCATCTATCCAAGCTGCATAATGCAGAATTCCAGAAGTCTAGAAGTTATCCTTTATAATCTTCCTCTTCCTCCCCCTCCACATCTAATCTATTCCAACTTCCATTATATGGATATTGCTGCATGAATTTCAATCTATTTTTTACACAAATACCAAAATAATCTCCCTTGCTGGCTTCATTCCCCTACTGCCCTTGTTATCACGATGATGCCAAGATCTCTATCAACTCACACCCCATGCTTCTCCACCTTTGCAGTTCACCCCTCCTCCACATCTCAACAACCTAATTTCTTATTCCTTCTAAATACTGTCTACTCCAGCCGAATTTGCTTTACAATATCTCCATGCGATTTATTCTTTCCCATCCCTCTTCACCAAGCTATGCCTTTTTCTGTCAAAACTCCTCTTGGAATCCTTCACTCATTAATTCAACCCAATATCACTCCTTACAAGGAAAAAAATAAAGTTACAGATTCAGGACCATACTTTATTCAGCCCAATAATCTACTTTTGACAGTGATACCAACTATAGTTTCCCTCCCAGACATGATCCTCCAAATCAGTCATTACCCAATACACTAATTACTTCCTTTAATAATACATCAAGCACTACATCGATCAATATTTACATGTTTTGTCTTTTATGAACACGTATATATTTTTAGCCTTTTCTATTTCATAAGGTTATGAATTTCACAAGTTTAACATCAACCACACAAAGCTGAACTTCCTCCATTTGTTCTGGTAGCATCAAGGTAGTCCTCTGATTTTAGCATTTTCTCATTTGGTGAACAAGCTGATAGTTTTCTCACCCATACCATTTGTAATTTGGAGGGAATACAAAAATAAATACTGCATGAATCATGCCCTTATCCTCTGCTTAAAGGGCACAATCCAGCTGTACTCATATTTATATTCCTAGTTTCCATAATAAAGTCTCATAAAGAGAGGGTGCTCAACACACGTTCAACAGAATTAAAGGAACTCTGCTGAGGACTGACACTGTAATGTTCACGAACGCCGAAAAGAAAGGAGGACTTCTCAAATATATTATCTCTGCTTTTCAAGAAAAATTATATTTGAGCTAAAAAAAAAAGGGTAGAAAGAACTGATGCCAGGTCTAGGTGAGGAGACTAGAACATAGCACCTTGCTGCTCTAAATGAAAGGAAGCTCCTCGTGACTGTGCTCACTGAATGGCTGCCAGTGTAGGCTGCACGGAGACCCGGAGGGCTGCCAAAGACTGGAAGAGAGCAAATACATGGAGACCTGATTTTTTTTAAAAAAAACAGGAAGAACTGCCAACAATAATCTAGTATACTTGACATCAATCTTTTTCTAAATTCAGATTATTCATTCAAAAAATAGCCTCTAATCACTTAAAAAAGAAAGCGGTAAGCGTTTGTAGTACCAGCCGGAGTGATACCAGACTAATCTAATTTCTTATCTTTTTTTAAGAGTGTGTGTTTAAAGACAGATCATACATTAAAAAGCAGTAAAAAACAGTGTGTTGGTAGGACTGCAACAAGGTATTTGACCAGGTTCTCATTATACCCACATGGATAAGATAAATATAAGATGGATAACAGTACAATTAGGTGGCTAGGAAACTGTCTGAATGACCATAACAACAAGTGCTCATTAATGAACCACTATAAACCTGAAGGGCCATTCTACTGGCAAGCCTCAGGACTCCATCTGTGGCCTTCTGTTCAACAATTTTATCAGTAACTTGAATGAAGATGTAGAAGGTTACTATACTACTGTTGGCATCCAATACGCAGTTGACATGAAACCAGAAGGCTCCTAATACATATTATGAAAGAGCCCAGATCTAAAAACACAACGATGAGCCAGAAAAATGAGCTGATTCTTAAAAAATGAAATTTAATAGGGAAAACTATCTAAGGGATCAATCAGTACCTGTGTCCAAAACTAACGGTGAGATGGGCAAGCGCTGCAACTTAATTGCCACACATGGAAAACAAACAAACAAGCAAAAAAGGGCCTAATGGTTTTAGTTGACTGCAAGCTTAGTTCAATCTGACAGCAGCAAGCTCAATATGATGGGGAGATCAAAAAAGCTAATGTGATGCTAGCTGCAGCAGTAGCAGCATCTCAAATGTGGGAGATAGCAGTCCTGCTCAACTCCAGACTGATCAGACCACAAATGGGATATTGCGTACCCCTTCCAGGGGTCACAGCCTTCAAAGGATCATAACCATATTGGCACAGGTTCAGAACAGAACCAGAATGCTTAGGAGCCTGGATATTATTCCATAAAAGGAAAGGCAGAAGGGAACAAAGATTTATAAATAGGAAAAAAGAGTGTCTTGCGAGAAAAATGATGGCTACCTTCATTCAGTCATTTAACAAACAAATTCCAAACCTATTTCAGGACAGATATTGTGACAGTGGCTGGGGATACAGAGAGAAAATAGTCTATGTCCATGAGAAATTCATATGTATAACCGAAGAGTTGAAACAGCCATGATCTAAAAAAAGGATTAGATTGTTCTATATGATTTCATAAGGTTGAAATAGGAGCAATGCAAAGAAGTTAGAAAGCAACCGATTTCAGCTCCATATAAGGAAGAGTATTTTAAGAGTCAAGCTGTCTAATGAAGGAAGAAGCTGCTTGAGAAGCTTGCAAGGCTCCCATCAGGAACCGTGTACTTAGCAGGGACACTGCTGAAATAAGACAGGCACTGAACTGGACATTTTTACTGTTCCTCACAGTCCACACTATGATTCTACCCTTTCCCAGGAAATGGACTCTCACCAGATTCATCCCACTGTGTACTTCAGCATCTCAGGTTTCCTACACTTGCTACTTCCAACTTTGTACCCTGTCCCCCACTGAAGCAATGCTTTATAACAGTCAATGGATCTGAGAGCAACAGGAATAATGAGAGATAGGAAGAACCGGACCCATCAGCACACAGAACACAAAACATCAATATGTTCAATGTGCCTTGTATTTGAAAAGAAAATGTAACAATCTCTATCCCTTCATTCATAAATTCGACTCAAAATATTCTATTATGTTGAATTAATGTAAATAAGGATTTATTATGTACTGCATCTCTTGTTGGGAGCCATTTTTTCCTAACCAACAAGGAAAATTTTAATTTAAGATCACTTCGAGAATTCGTGTCCTACATAAACACTCCAAAACCCTCTATTATAAGGTTATGTGGCAACTAAGTTTAGAATATATTTCTAAAAAGAAATTATTCATTAGATATAGCGGGCTAAATACCATGAACTAATCAAATTGTGAAATTCTGATTAAACGACTACTTTAACCCATCTAAAAGTCACAGGCAGGATAAACACAGAGAAAAGGTACAAACTATTTAGTTCTCGCTTTCATAAACTGGTTTAAGATTATTTAAGCTTACCTTCATTCATTTTATTTTGTAATTTTAAAACAGTGTCACATATCGGGTCTCTATGCTGCATCTGGGTATTTAAGGAGTTCACCCTTCCAAAGTGTTAATATTAACTTCTTGGAAGTAGTCCCTCACACTTCAGCGCTTTCTCAATTTGGATACAATAAATGAGCCACAATTCGATTTCCCAGGGCTCTTTCTTTTAAACAGCAGCCCGGAAAGACAAAAGTGAGAAAGAAAGAAGAGCATCTTTAACCACCAGCCCTGAAAAAAAGGCTTCCCCTCCGGTTGTCGTCAACTCCGACTACCTACCATTTCTGGCTGTCTACCATTTCTCAACACACTGCCAGGTCGTTTCGGTTAAAAAAAGGAAAAAAAAAGCAGATTCCAGTTTTCCCGGGACGGGGAGATCCCCTTCTGTAGAAGTGGCTAATGCTAGGCTCCCCGCGGGATCTCATCTCGTTGCCAAGGCAGCGCCAACCCCAGTCGTCCGGCCCGAGGGCAGCTCCCGCCGGCCCGGAGCCCGGGGCCGCCCCAGCCCGCGGGAGAGCAGCCCCGGCCCAGCCCGGAGCCCCCGCGGCCGCAGAATCCCAGCCGCGACCCCAGACGGCCCCGCGGGCGCGGAGGAAGGCGGGGAGACGCGCCTCGACTTACAGTGACACCATCCCAGGTGACAGCACCAGTGCAGCTTGAAGCACTTGCCGTGGCTGTGCGTGGCACAGATGGAGAGCCCGTCGCACGGCTGGAAGTCGGGTCTGCGGGCAGCGCAACTCCGCGCCAGGGCCTGAGCCTCGTCCACTTTCTCGCTCTTCCAACCCCGCTCGGGCGCCGCCGCCGCACTCATCTCCTCTCCCTCTGCGGAGCCGAGGCCGGGAGCCCGGGAGAAGCGGCGTCTGGGCGGGCAAGAAGCCGAGCCGGCTGCAGAGCGGGAGGGCGCGGCGCGGGCCGGGAGTCACGCCAGCGCGGGTCGCGGGCGGCGGCGGCGGCGGCGGCGGGAGCGCGGCGGTCCCAGGCTGGCAGAGGAGCCGCCCCGGGCGCTGCGACCGGGGGCTGGGCCTGCCGCCGCCGCCGCCGCCTCCCTGCCCCCTCCGCTGCGGCGCGCGCCGCGCCCCCACGCGCACACGCACGCGCACACGCGCGCGCTGGCGGCCCCGGCCGACGCCACGCGGCCGTCCGCAAGCCCCGCCTCTTCGCACCCAGCCTGCGGGCGAGCGCGGTCGTCGGCGCGCCCTCCCCTCACGGCGAGCGAGTCCCTGCCGCACGCGCGCTCGGTGCTCGGAGACCGACCCCGGCCAATGGAGGGCTGCTGTGGACATACGCACGCCTCGGCGGCTTGGCATTCCCACGCACCCCAGCTTACACGCACGCTTCCCACACACACCTCCTTCCGAGCTGGGTCGTCTCGAGAAGGGACACACACGTCCACGCTCCACGGAGGGCTGGGCACACCGAGCGCACGTGCCCCGAGCCGCTCCCTGGGCTGGTCTCTGCGCCCCTGCCCGCGAGGCGTTCTTGCGCACACAGCCGCTCCCCACGCGCGTCTCACGTCTTCCCTCGCACACGCCTTCCCGGGTTCTGGGCACAGACAGCCCTCGGAGGCGCGGGCACGTGCACACGCGCGCACTCCCCCAGGGTGGCCGCACGTCAGGCGGAAGCGGCCAGCCCGGCCCCACTTGAGACCCTGAGATCCCGAACCCCAGCCCCGCGCCTCGTGCCGAACCGCAGCGACCACGGCCAGCCCCAGACTCGGCCGAGGCTGCAGGCCCGCTTTACTGAGCCGGAAAGTAACCAAGCTGGGTGCCAGTGGGTGGGTGGGGGGTGTGTGTGTGTGTGTGTGTGTGTGAGAGAGAGAAAGAGAGAGATGCATATGTGGTGCACCGTACTGGTATGTGGAATGTGTTGCATGTGTGTGTAGTTTGGTGTGTATGATTGTTATGTGGTGTATGTGAAGTGGGTATGTGTGTATAGTTAGATGTGTTGCTAAGTGTGTACATGATAGGGTGATGTGTGTATGGTCTGTGTGACGCATATAATTGTTATGTGGAGTCTGTGTGATGAGATGTGTGTATGGTGGCATGGATATATATGACCAATGTGGAGTGTAGGTGGTGTGTATGTGTGTGTAGTAGAGTGTATGTGGTATGTATAGTGTGTGTGTAGTTGAGTATGTGTTTGTATTCGTGTGTACATGGTGTGTGGGTGCGTATGGTTGTTATATAGAGTGTGTTAACGTGTGTGGCAGTGTGATGTGTGACTGGCGTATCGAGTGTGTGTGTGGTGTATATGGGTGGTGTTGGGTGCGTAGAGTGCATGTGGGTGTGGCACACAAGCAGGACTCATGTTTGCCTTGGACTCTGTCTGTACCTTTGGTTGTTAATGCCTGCCCTGGCCAGCTGGTGTGACTGGCCCGGGTGTTCGCTGCAGCTCCCCCACACAATCAGCTTGCCTTCTTCCCTCCTGGGGACAAGTTGCTCCAAATAGATTTTCCATGCCAGGCTCAGCTGCTGAGAACCCACCCCGGGTTGGATTCAGTGAAGAGAAAACAAACCATTTGCTCCCAGGGAGCGCTGCTGGGAATTAGTGTTTCCCTGCAACAAGGCCAGAACCCAGCCTTGAACACAGAAAAGGAGGGGACTTCCTCTCTTATTTGCCAAACGTTTTTCAGAGCAGAGGAAAAGGCCTGTAATTGCCAGGGTTCAGGGAACAACAACAAAGCATTTCAGCGCAAACGCTGTGTGGGAACATGTTTATGCCCAGGTCCACTTTATCCATTACTTTATTCCTTTCCTGCTTTGCACTGACAAGGACACTCATCCTGGCTTTGAAATAACCAAATTCATCTTCAAGCACTGAAAATCCTGGCTGCCATAAGCAATCTTTCATAATTTTCCCTTTTATTTAACCTTGGCTTAAGAAGGGAAATGTAATTTGCATATATCTGACTCTAGTGAAGTCTTCATTTATTAGGGGTTGAGAGAGACTCAATTTGGTGGCAAAAGTATTTTCAAGAAAGATCTGAATCAAGATCTCAATATATGGTTCTCTCAATTGCCCAACAGTGAAATAGTTATAAACATGAAGGATCATGTCTTCAGCTTCAGCCCCAGGTACCCCTTCCTGAAAAAAATCTTAAGGAAGTACGTCCCTGACTCATAAAATTTATCCATCCCTGCTGTTAATTTCACAGTCTGGCCTACCTCAGAATAATGAGTGAAAGGAAGAAAAAATTTAATCAAAGAAATCCATAATCCATTATTTTTGGAGTAAGCCAACTCAGAATTCTTCAAACAAAGGGGACTTCCCATGTCTCCTACCTTATTTTTCTCCTTCCTCAACCTATAAACTCACTCTAATACTGTCCATATTATATAAGACCTTATAACAGAATCCTTTCAGTAACACAGTAACTAATATTTGAACAGGATCTTTCACTGACTTTTACTCTAGGACGAACATGTTATAAGATTCTGCTATATATGAAACCATAACATCTCAGCGAGTGAAAAATGAGCATGAAAAATAATGCAATAAAGCACTTTAGCCAGGAGGCAAGGTAAATTACCCAAATATCCTACTTTATGTCAGCCACGTGATTTGAAGCTGAGAAGCCTTTACATTTCCTATAACATAAAACTCATTCTGTCCCCTTGCCCTAGAGGTGTTATTAACCTGTACTGTCTGCAGTGGAGCAGGAGGAGGGAAATGTGCCATGACCTCAAACATATACACACACAGCCTTCAGGATGTCTTGTCATGATACAAGTTATAAGGTTTTATTATGGAAATGAAACATATACGAGAGTAGAGAGACTAGTATAATGAACCTCACGTACCCATCACCTCGTTTCAGTAATTATTAACTCATTTGGAAAATCTTGTTTTATCTGTAATTCCACTCACTCCTGACACCTACCCCGCTACTGGATTATTTTGAAACAGATCCCAGACATCATATCATTTCAGCCATAAATATTTTAGCATTAATCTCTAAAGGAACTTTTAAAAACCATAACCCACAATACCATTACCACATAATAGGATACAATTTGATCATAAATATGAACTTGCCCCACAGCTGCTGGCCACCTCACCAGCTCCCTTTTAAGAATGCCACTCCTAGGGCTGGCCCAGCAGTGGTTGAGTTCATGCGCTCTGCTTCAGTGGCCTGGGGCTCACATTTTGGATCCCAGACATGGACCTACGCACCGGTCATCAGGCCATGCTGTGGTGGTGTCCCATATATAAAGTAGAGGAAGATTGGCACAGATGCGAGCTCAGGACCAAACTTCCTCACCAAAAAAAAAAAAAAAGAATGTCACTCCTTCTGCCTGGAATTTTCCTCTTTCCCTTCTCTTTCTCTCTGCCTACCTCTTCAGTTTATGTGCCACTTTCTCAAAGAAGCTTTCCAACTTCTCCAACTTTCCAACTTCCAAGTGACCAACTCAGACTAAGTTATGTACACTCTCCTTTCATGTCACATAACTCAACTTTAAACAAATAACTAAAGAAGGAATTATTGAACTAATGTCTTTCCCCACTTCTCCCAAAGGAACATGGCCTCTGTCTTGATCTCTATCTTGTTCCCAGTGCTTAACGCAGAGAATAAATAATTGTTAAAGTAATGAAAATTATTCCATCTCAGACTTCCAAAGGCTGGAAAAAGTCCATTTGTGGTAAGCATTTGCAAATATATGTGAATGATTCCCATAATTACTTTTCCTATAACCACATTTTTGGATATTCCGCTCACATACTGACTCTGAGATTAGCTATGTGTATTAGTTATCTCTTGTAACAAATCACTCCCAAATTAAAACAATGCACAGATTCTGTGGTGTTGCAGAAGATCATAGCAACATTCTTGCTAGACTTTAAGCTTAGCAAGAACAAGTTACAAAATAGGTGGCTGAGAAATATGTGATCTGCTGATCCTCATAAATTACTATACTAGATTGTTTGTGCTTTGGAATCAAAGGCCGAAAGGGAGTATCTTACCAAGCGTGAAGGCAAGGGGCTTAAGAACGCTGGGCCCTTGCAGGAACGGAATACCATCTGCATAACTTGCTGAGTGTTCCTAGGATACTCCCTAAGGGAATGGCCTTGGGTAGGGCGGGAGTACATTGAAGGGAGGCAGACTAGAACTGCTGAGCTTTGACTTGCATATCCCTGCTGGCATGAGTTCCTGCTATGCTTGTACTTCTTTGCCTGCAAATAAATATGTGACGATCAGAGGGACCTCACCTCAGCCCTTGAGGCTGATGGTCCCATGTCCCATTAAATAATATAAATTGTGTTGTGTCTATTATAAAGACTGTGTTCTGTCCATTAATTCCATCCACCCCTTCAGCTGGCTGCCTAGCTGGTCTTGGCAGCACTGTGGGTCTGCAAACCAGGCATGACTTAGTTAGGTTCCCCATTTCAAAGTCTCTCACAAGGCTGTATTGAAGGTATGGGCCAGGGTTGCATTCTCATCTAAAGATTCAACTGGGCAAGGGTCTGCTTTCAATCTCACTCACTGGCTGTTGGCAGGATTCAACTCCTAAAGGAACTGTTGGGCTGAGGGTCTCAGTTCCTCACTGGTTGTGGGCTAGAGGGTGCCCTTAGTTCCTTGCCACATTGGTCTCTCTATAGGACCCTCTCTATAGGGTCTCCAGACGTGCTTTACCAGACAAGCATGTAAAAAGTTAGAGAGTGTCACAGACTTTCATAACCTAATCTCAGAAGTGATATCCTGTCACTCTGCCATATTCTATTCATTAGAAGCAAATCACTAGATCCAGCCCTCACACAAGGGGAGGAGATGACACAATGGCATGAATGTCAGGAAGCAGGAATCATTGGAAGTCATTTCAGAAGCTGCCTACCACACCATGGGACTTACTCTAGCCAGTGGAAGAATAGCAAACATGGTATAGTAAAGATTGCCAAAGAACACGATTGTTGGGGTTTTCTTTCTCTTTTTGTGCTTGGAGCCCTGAGACC